TGAATTATACTTAGGCATGGTTACTTGATTTAAATCTGTATGTGTTTATGCAGGAAATCGGGGCAAGGGAGAGAATATTCCAGGGAACATATGCTGAGAATGGATTGCATTGAAGAAGCTATAAAGTAGGCTGGGGCTGAGGGAGCTGAGCGCTGAGGGATACTTGCACCATTCCAGTCCAAACAATTTATTTGTCATTTTACCTGAGGCAACCATTTGTGCCATTTTTCTGATATATAAAATAGGCAATCTGTTCTGGTTCTGGAATGTAGAGATTCTGCTTCAATCGCTGGCAGACTTTTGGCTACACCCCTGTTTGTTCGTCTCTCAAAATGATTACGCTGTCCACTGAAATCATTGCAGTGGTAATTGGCATTTGTAAATCAACTCTCTACATTTTTCACATGATGACGCAATGCAACTAGATAAGGATCAAAGCGAGTGATACTGATACATTTCAAATTCCATTTGAGATATGGATCAAGAATCTTCTATGATTTATCTCACTGCTAAATTTGGAAGCATAAAATTACTAATTCCTTCACCTTTCACTTAAAATCACTGAATTGTTACATTTTGCCAAGTAATCAGTGGAAGTCTGAAATTTTATCAGTTACCATGAAGATAGAAGCTGATCAAATGGTCAACTGAGTTTTGTTCAAATCGCCTACTATGTCACAATCTAAGTTAATCTAAATTAAAAAAGAGTTTATATATTTCCATTTGTATCACTGTGCCTTTTCATGTTTTCCTTGAGGCCGAGTGATCCGTCAAAACCACTGGAAAGCAACGCAACAAAATAATTTGAAGTCGCCCAGAAATTAACACGACTCACAAAGACAATCTGCCAAATTGAAATTTTATTAAGCATGTTAGATAAATTTTTCGACCCGGCTTCATCAATGATATACCAAGACTAGCCACAAACAGATTGAGTTGAGTCAGCCTCTTTTGTTTACTTTTTATGTTGGGTGTGATTTAATTATAACCAATTTGCTACATTCGTTTTGGTTTGTTTGTCTGGGTGCTTTTAGCCTTGAATTTTAATCTATCTTACTTGCTTACTTGTTTCTGATTCATTATTTGTTTGAGCCATGAATAACACTTCTTTAGCTTCACCAGTTTCTTAAGCTGCAGTAGCTTTCCTTTTATCAAACTTTTTTGCCTTACATTCCTTCTCCACATGGCCTAGCGAGTTGTAGGCTCTACATTTCACATCTGGCCTATACCAGCAGTGCTTTGGAGTGTGGTTGTTCTTCTTGCAATGAGTGCAGGGAGATTACTTGTCATTTTGCTTCCTCTTTATAGCTTTGTTACCTTTGCTTTCAAGCTTCTTTGAGCTCTCACCCTTGCCTCGTAAGCCTTTGGTTTTGACAACCAAAGCATTAATAACAAGGAAACATAAAACACTCAAAATGACATTGTTGTCTTACGTACAAGGAGTAACGTTAAAACACTACCGTTTTGCACCTAATGGCTATCTTCTTCCTTCAAACTTCAGTTGCTCCCCGCCTTCTTTGCTAGAACTGCTTCCTCAACCAGATGAAAAGAATCACTCTCCAATAAATCCCCTTCTAGCTTCTAAATTGAAAACATCCTTAATTTATCA